GAAGGAATCAGCCCACTTAGTTAATATCAATTTCTGTCTATCAGTTGCTCTTACCTGGGTTATAAATCGCTGTAATTCCAAGATTGCTTATAAAACAGTAAAAGAAAAAAAAATGGCGGCCGGACGGGGGGGCGCGCTGAGGGGGGGGGGGGGGGGGGGGGGGGGGGGGGGGGTAGGAACCAGGCCTAGACTTGCTCTCACGGGTTTTCCAGGCAGCCTCTCTGATCCAGCGCACCATCCACCCCTTCTCACTCAGTGCAGCCCCTTCCTCAAGAGCATGCCTCACCCCTACCTTGCTGCTCACAATGGGAGAAGGTGTCATGCTTGGAAGGGTACAGGGACCCAAGTATGAGCCCCAGGAGGCAGGTGGGAGTGGGTTGGGTGCTGGACACAAAACTAGGGGAGTCCAGGTACAAAGGGAGGCTGAGGGCCACAGGGCACGGGAAGGTCCAGGGGCCTCATGGGTGGAGCTTAATGCTCACCAGTGACAGGTGTCTTATCTCAGGCTTCCAACCCAGGGCCAGTGCCGCGCCTGCCCCTGGCATCCCATCCGGCTGCTCTGAACCCACCACCCTGCCCTCTCCCGGGCCAAAGCCCACTTCTGCAGGGTAGGTGCACACACTCCACCCTTTCCTTTCTGGTTCCCCTGGGAACTGGGAGCCCCCCTCCACCTCCGAGTCGGAATTCCGAGAAGCTAGAGGGCCTGGCTACTCCCTACCCCCACCCCAGGCTAGGAGCAGCTGGACAGAGCAGCTGGGAAAAGGGAACACAGGATTAGGGACTATGGTCATTTGACGGAATGCCTTGGGTTCAAGAAAAGGGGAGAGAGCCCAGGGAACAAAACGGGTGGGTAGGTAAGGCCTGAAGAAGGCACCAAAGCCATACTGGGGGGTGAGGGGGTGCCTGGTGGATTTCCTTCCCCCTACCCATCAGCTGGGCTTCCAGACAGCATTCTGGGAGAGCCCTGATCCTGGCTCTATTCCAGACCATTCCCTGGGCCCCTCCCCTGGGGTGCAGGGCTGGAGAAAAGCTTTCTGAGAAAATGGGGCCCATTCCCAGCCATCAAAGCTCTTCTTGTCTCCCAGGAAGACTGAGGCCAGAGGCGAACCTTCCCCATTCCTCAATGCCTGACATTCCATACGGCATCCGTTTCTCCTGGCTTCGGCCCTGCCTCATTCCAGGAGGAAATCCGACCCCCTCCCTTCATCCGGACCCCACTTCCCTCATGGAGACTCCCCCACCCTGCTTTTCCTGCCAGCTCCTTGGTGGGGAAGTGAGGAGTGGAGAGCACCAGTTCAGGTTCAGACAGGGATGGGGCCCAGAGGCAGGGGAGGGGAGAGCAGTGGCTGGGTGGTGGGGCAGGAGGCTAGTGGGGGTGCAGGGCTGGAGTGGGTGGAGCACCCGGAGAGCCCAAGCAAGGGAGGAAGTAGTCCTCTAGCTCTCCCACCCTCTCCGCTGCAGAAGCCGACCCCACCCCCACCTCACACACCCACCTGGGCCCGGAGAGGCGATGGAGAGGTGAGATGAGGAGGGGGTGATCGGGGAGCGGACTGGGGACAGGAATGGCCGGGACCCAGGCACCTGCCCTCCCAGCCGGCACTGCCCACAGCCAGCTAGCCAGCTCAGCAGGCTCGGCCACCACAGCCCTGCCATGCGCTTGGAGCTAGGAATCACCATGTACCCCTTTTTACAGAGCCCCCCAACTTCAGCCCCTTCTCTTTCATGGGCTAAGCAGCGTTTCTTTGGTGCACCCCCAAATCTAAACCTGGGGGGCTGGCTGGGGGGCTGTCAGGCTCCAGGCGAAGAACCCCATTCGAACAGTCAATCCACCCGTAGCCTCACCCCTTT